ACATTTGCTTACTAACTAAAAGTTATAGCATGAAAACTATAACAAGCACAAAATGGTTACAAGGTCATCACATTGACCAACCCAGTATTGAAAGAGTTAAAAAAGACATGCATTAAAATGTGTGTATTTTTCTTTATCATTAAGGGTTTTATATGTCATTTGGAAAATTAGGTATTGTTATAAAAAAATGTGTTTCTCTCTTTATTCTAGAATACTTCAAAAACCCAAGGTATAAGATTTTAGAATTTATATAATCTTGTTATGGTATTAATCCATAACTGAAATGTTTATTCTGATACTGGTATTAATAAATAAAAAGTCAAGAAAATAGATTAATATACAAAAAAATATTCATCTTTATAATCTTCTACTAATTATGAATAAAAAAACTTTTATCTTGATTTCTGACAATATTACTTACAACTAATTATCATAAAATATACTAATTGGTTCCAATTGATATAAAAATTATTTTACAGCAAGCTTAATATTACTGTTAATTTATTTTACAAACTAATAAGTTAAAAGTAAATAAAAAAATCCATATACAATGACATATCAAAGTGACCGAAGCAAAATTTACATTGGATGTACATTTTTTGACATTTGCTTTTGTTTCTTGGAAAGGATACTGAGTATCTTATTTTGTTTGAAAAAGCAAGTGGATGCACACAAATTAACACACTAATCTAAATGATGAAAAATATATGATTTGGCTTTTAAGCCTCTTTTTTATCTATTTATTTATTTTTAAATGAAAAGGTAGACAAACTCACCGATGGGCTTGGTCACCAAGAGAACCTATGAAGACAGCATAAACATTCACTTGAGGATCAGAAGTCATGACGTTTGCAAAAGCCCTTGGAGGAATACCATACCGTTCTAGATTCGCATCACTGAGAACAACGACGAAGTGTTCATCTGCTGCTGTTTTTGCGATAGCATTAATGGCATCCTGAGTCGCTTGCAAAGTGTTGTCTCCACTCATACAGAACTGAGAGTGAGCATGCAACATCTGAAAAGATCACAACTAATTTCTCATGAAATCTCTAAATCTCACAAATAACCAAGAATTCTTTAAGATCAACAAATACAAGATACCAGTACAGTTAAAACTAAGAAGTTTGAATGGAACATTCCTAACCTTAAGAATATCAAGGCGTTCTTTGTCATTAGCAGGATATTTTCCTACAGGAACAAATGGGATATTTGAGTCTTCTCCTGAGTGGCCAACAATATCATACTGAAAAGTGGAGTAAGAATTTGTTAACAAAATTCTTCAGCTAAGGAGTATAAAAGCATTAGGATTGTTTAAGTAATGAGTTCCTGACCATCAGGACCTAAAAATATAAGTAATCAGAATTTAAAATGGTAAGAGGCAGTTTTATTGTCTTCTGAAGTTCTAATATCCTGTGTATTAATAAAACAAAATTAAATATTTATTACCCATGTCCTACTACATTGAGAGATAATAACTTCATAACGTCTTTTAAAATACAAATCTGACTTCTTTTTTATAAGTAGTGATATAGCTACATTTTTCACCCATAAAAAAATCTACAGTATGTTTATGACCTTCTAAAAGATTAAAATTGTAAACTATATTTTTGATATCATAAAGTTAAATGTTTATATTTGTGTACTTAACTACAAATCAATCTCTTCTTCTTTTTAAGTATGTAGCAAATGTTTGTCCTCTTTGGGTATTTTACATTATTTATTTAATCTATCATAGAAAAGTAAAACAGCTTTTTTAAAAGACATCATAAAATAAAGAAGCTTTTAAAGTATTCTTAATGAAGCCAAGTTGTAAGAATAATCACAATGGAAAGTTTCCATGATATAAATAGTTATTTAATAAAAGAAGGATATATTAAACATTTCTAATACTTCTTTTTTTAAATTTCATTACATTAATATGTTTTAATACACATACTAACCTTATCTTGCTACCATTGCAAATTGAATTAAAAAGCTGATGACTGTGTGCCATAATTTAACATGCAACATTAGTAAGTAACTTGTTAGCTTTAATAGCAATACAAAATATTTAATCGTTTACTTAAGAAACTATCATTTATGATTAAAACTAGCCTGAAACTTGTGCTGATAACCCTCAAAGGCTTCCATCATCATAAGCACAGACTCAAGCTGTCGATCAAGACGTCTGTCATAACCATTGAAACGATACATGCTGCCACTGACATCGACCACCAACCGCAATCGTTTTGGAAGCTCCAGTGGACTACCCAGCTGTTCATGGAGAGAAATATTAAACATGATTACTGATAAAAATATTAACCTATGCTACCACAAAGATTTTACTAAAATACCAAATAAAAACAAGCTATTTATAAACTGTTATTACATTATTAACATTTAATCTGTAATTACTGTAAACAATAGAAGTTCTTTAAAAATTATAATTTTTATTTAACCTAAGCCAAACAACACCCACAAAGCCAATCAGACCTGAAAGCTTACCTGCTATTTTTAGGAAATCATAAAGGTATGGAAAACAACCAACCAACCAACCATTTTACTTTTTTAAATATAACTTACCATGTATTTGAACCCCCCATGAACAACTGTAAATTAAAATTTCAGTATTTTATCATGGTTAACCAGATGTTATTAGGAAGTCATAAAAACAAACAGTACTCCAGTTCATATTTTTACAAGAAAAAAAAATCACAAATATGTAAATTGAAAGTTTTATTGTAGTGTGTACTGTTTTCAACTAATTATGAGTAATTTTGGTTACAAATAAAACAAAATCAAAAGTATGCAGATCACTAATATGCATCAATATTTACTATTTCACATTTAATTTCCTATAGTATAGATTCATTTGTACTTGCTGACTTTGTATAAAAATCACTAAAAAATGCTAGGATATAATATCCCTCTCCTTTAGTAAATGCAGCATAGAATCCTTCAGCAACTAACATAGTAATGAGATGCTCGATTTTGTTATCACTTTTATAACTGTTTTTTCAATTAACAAATATATTTTCATCCAGTAATACTGAATATATATATAAAACCTATAAAAACCAACCAAACAGCAAGTTATGAAAATATTACTGTTTCTAAAGAAAGTGATCAAACCATTAAAATCACCTGGCTAAAATTTTCATTAAAAAAAGATGAAACCTGGCAATAGCATAATGTTTTAAAGCTCTTCAAATAACATCTATTTTGGAGATTTACTTAGAACTTTAAGTTACAGTTTAAAAATACAAAAATTTAAAACAATATGTGTATTTACTAGTTATTGCACAGATATTTCTGAGCAACAAGGATTTGCAGACAAGAGTACTCAGCCATATTTGATATGATTAAATGAATACTTCAGAAAAATATTTACATTAACCCACTGAATACAGCTGCTCTAAACATGTGCAAAATTTTTGCCAGCCATCCACTGTATATGGCACACTCGAGGCAGACCGTACTTTATACGGGGAATCAGCAGTCAATGGGTTAAAGATAATACTGTGATGTTTCCTATGTGTATTAAAGGTATAAATCTGTTCTTTACCCTCTAATGTTGCATGGAACAAATTTCTAGTTTTAATTCCATTGCAAGTTCTTCAATTTTAGAACTAAAGTTCAGAATACTTTTGTTATGAATTGATATCTGACAAAATAATAATAATTTTATGCAAGCTGTTTCTCTCTTATAAGATATTTTAACACTTCACTGCCTAACAGAGTTGATATGAGGTCATTTGGAAAATTTTAATTATCTTTTACACCATTTTTGTTCATGCAAAGAATTCCAACACTCAAACAAAAGTCATAATATATTCATTACAATTTATACTAGTTCATATGAAATTTAGGCTATTTTACAGTTTCTGGGGAGAAGAACTTTAAAAAATCTTGTTCATCTTATTTATGTACATACATACATACACACATAAACACTCAGATTTTTTTTATTTGTATGAAGAAATGTTGAATAAAGTTGAAGTTTCAAATGATACCAGTTTTATTTCACTCAGTTCAATTTTGAATAAGAGTGACATTCTATTTCTATTCGTGTTTAACATCTTTTGTGTATATACATACTTATATATATATATAAAGTGCTTGATATCCATACACTAGTGTAATTTCTTGTGTACTTCATCCAAAATAACTCCAGACAAAGATAAACCAACTAAGAATTTTAGACAAGTTTTAAACATTTAATGAGAATAAGAGGAATTAAAATAATGAAAACCTGAAATTGATTCAATATATCTTACAAAATCTCATTCTTATGCAACAATGAGTTCTTATTCGAATAATATTTATGTGTGGTTATTCATATGGTGTTTGAGTTTTCTTCTTTACCACAGGTAACTTATATTTAGATGGTTAATTGAAAATAAAGTAATATTAAATTACTACTTCATTCTTCCACACTGATATTCATCATGCTGGTGATGAGAAAGAACAACTACAGTATGTGGTTATTCACCTCAGGCTCTTGTTCTCCTCTCCGTTTGTATATTGATCGTTCTCCAGTCAAGCTCTCTACTAGTTTACTGTCATCCAGCTCTCCTGAAGTTTGATGTCTAATCCACTGACGTTCCTTCCCTTTAGCCTAGAAAATGAATATTACACAAGAATTATAATCTATGTACTACTCTGCACATTAACCTCAGAATCTAGTGGCCTTAACACATTTTATAATGATTATAACCCATTCAATTTTCTTAATATTAATATTAAAAACAAACAACCTTAACATATTCTATAATGGTCATAATTTATTCAGTATTCTTTTAATAACATTAAAAACAAGTAAACTTAAGACATTCTATATTTGATGAAAATATTAACACCAGCCAAAGCACACCCTCTTTTCTCCAATTATATAGTCCTGTGGCACCCATTTGTCAGCACAGTCTAAGTAGTATGCTACTATTCCTAATCGGCCCGGCATGGCCAGATGGTT